CAGTAAGGAAGACCTAAAATATTCTGCAAATATTATAAAATAGATGAATGCAAGCAGATACTTGCAAAATACAAAATCCACAGCAGAACACAGTAAACAATAAAACTGGGGAGTTAAAGATGTTCCACTAGGAGGCACAATTGCCTTCAAAGCAAATTAAATGAATATTCAGCTTTTGGAATAAGAATTAGAAATAAGCACCCCAAGATACATGTAAAACAAACAGGTTGCTTACCTGTAACTGGTGATCTTTGAGTGGTCATCTATGCATTCACACCCATGGGATTTAGTGCACACGCGCTGGATCGATCGGTGCTGTAGCAAGTTCTTTTAATGGATTTTTGCACCCAGTCCCTCAGGCATGTGCAGGAACTCCATCACGCATGCCCAGAGGGGTGGGCGCGGACATCCCGCCAGTTCCTTCAAACCGCCGCAAATCAACCCCTATTGAAAATGTAGAAGCTGACAGCAGCGGGGAAGGAGGGCAGGTGGTGTGAATGCACAGATGACCACTCGAAGATCACCAGTTACAGGTAAGCAACCTGTTTATCTTCGACGTGGTCTCTGTGCTTCACACCCATGGGAGATTAGCGAGCAATAGCCTACCTGAAGGAGAGTGCTGGCAGGTCTTTTACTGCGTAGCCGAAGTCAGAATGTGACGTCCCATGTTGGTATTGGTGTTCGTACGGATGTCTAGGGCGTAGTGCCTTATGAAGGTATTAGGTGTGGCCCACGCAGCGGCTTTGCAAATGTCCGTCAGTGGCACTCCCTGGAGGAAGGCAGTGGAAGTCGCGACAGCCCTGGTCGAATGAGCCCTGATAGGGCCAGGCAATGGCTGTTTGGTGATCAGGTAACATAGACAGATGAGACCCACAATCCACTTTGACAGGCGCTGGGCAGTGATGCGAGTGCCCAGTCGTGCTGATGCGTAAGAGATGAACAGTTGTGAATCTCGTCTAGTTGGTCATCTTCTATCGAGGTAGAACAGGAGAGCCCGCTTCACGTCCAAGGTGTGGAGTAGTTTGTCTTCCGCTGATGTTGGATTTGGGAAGAAATCAGGGAGGAAGACCTCTGCCTGCAGGTGGAACTCTGACACCACCTTCGGCAGGAAGGAGATGTCTGGGACGAGGCGGACTTCGTCTGGCAAAAACGACAGGTAAGGTGTATCGTGCCAGAAAGTCAATATTTCTCCCACTCATCTAGCCGAGGTGTCAGCAACTAAAAAGGCCGTTTTCCACGCTAGAAGTTTGAGGTTGCATGTTGCAAGTGGCTCAAAGGGCTTCCTCGTGAGCTGGCGGAGAACTAGAGGAAGGTCCCAGGGAGCGACTGGAGTCTTGACAGGAGGGTAGAGATTAAATAAACCTTTTAAAAAACGTTTTGAAATTGGATGTGAAAACAAAGTACATTTGTCAACTGGAACATAGTAGGCCGAAAGAGCAGCCAAATAAACCTGCAGCTCGAGGGGTGTAATCACCTAGGGAAGAACTGAACCTTCGCCATTTATAATCGTACGACCTCCGCATAGTAGGTTTCCTGGAATTC